CAACTCTTCTTCTGAACAGAGCTGGTCATAAATTTTTCATTTCTTTCTTGCTTCTCTTCCCAGGGCAGAACAGACGAGTGCTAAAAGCAGAGGCCACTCTATTCTGTATTTATTTCAAGTGCTAAACAAATGACTTCCAACTGATGCAAGGTGGCAGCCAGTGGATGGGCAAGTCAAACCCGCCCAATATCTGCACTGCAGCCTCCAGAAACAGCTATGTTTGTATTACGACGAACAGCGATGGAGGCTGTAAGCACACCAGCCTTGTGGGTGGCTGAACTGCTTGTGCAGAATTTCTGCTTTCACACTGTCTTCATTGGCCAAAACAGGGTTCCACCTCGACATGCAATGTAATAAAGAAGACTCTGAGACGCGGATCACTGGAGGCCGAACAGTATTCTGAAAAGTATTCATTTCACTCCTATGGTCCTCTGCCACACCACTCACTACTGACCACTGTTCACATTTTATTTATCTATTTTTCCTCTTGCTTACTTTTTACAGAGTACCTTTACCAGTAAGACTAAATCTATAAATACTGAGATGATACCATAGACTCGTAGAATGGTTTGAGTTGGAATGGACCTCAAAGATCATCTAGTTCCAACCTCCCTGCCATGGGCAGGGAAACTCTCCACTACACCAGGTTGCCAAAGCCTCATCCAGCCTGGCCTTGAACACTTCCAGGGATGGGGCAGCCACAACTTCTCTGCGCAACGTGGTCCAGTGCCTCGCCACCCTCATTGTAAAAATTTTTTTCCTTAGATCTCACGGAAATCTCCCCTCTGTGAATTTCAAGGCATCGCCCCTTGTCCTATCACAGCATGTCCCTGTCAAAAGCTCCTCTCCAGCTTTCTTGTAGCCCGTTTAGGTACTAGAAGGCTGCTAGAAGGTCTCCCCGGAGCCTTCTCTTCTCCAGGCTGAACAACCCCAATTCTCTCAGCCTGTCTTCACAGGAGAGGTGCTCCAGCCCTCGGATCATCTTCATGGCCTTCTCTGGACCTGCTCCAACAGCTCCATGTCCTTGTGTTGAGGACCCCAGAACTGAACGCAGCACTGAAGGAAGGGTCTCAGGAGAGCAGAGTAGAGGGGCAGAATCCCCTCCCTTGACCAACTGCCCACGCTGTTTTGGATGCAGCCCAGGACATGGTTGGCTTTCTGGGCTGCCAGCGCACATTGCCAGCTCATGTTGAGCTTCTCATCAACCAGCACCCCCAAAGTCCTTCTCCTCAGGGCTGCTCTCAATCCATTCTCTGCCCAGTCTGCACTTGTGATTGCCCCAGCCCATGTGCAGGACCTTGCATTTGGCCTTGTTGAACTTCATGAGGTTCTCACAGGCCCACCTCTCCAGCCTGTCCAGGTCCCTCTGGATGGCATCCCTTTCCTCCAGCATGTCCACAACACCACACAGCTTGGTGTTAGGAAACCTGCTGAGGGTGCACTTGATCCCACTGTCCATGTTGCTGACAAAGATGTTAAACAGCAGCAGTCCCAACACCATTTGGGATCGTATATTCTGCAAAGCCTTACCTCTGTCTATACAAACTGCCTTTTTAAGGACCAAAAGTGGTTTCCAGGTCTTACTTGGGAGCCTGTTTCAAAGCTGAATGAGAAGGGATGTTGGATACAGCTGAAGGATACACAAGTCAACTAGCACTCATCAGGCCTAAGACAACTCTGGAAGTGAGAGCCCTGGGACACACACTTTCTGCTCTGGATCTCTGTCTCAAGCTATTTTCAGTCACTCTTCACCATACCGTGCTTTTGAAAGGAAGCTGATGTTTCTCCTCAGTAGTGCTGAGCACAATCTTTAACCTGGTCCCTTCAAACATCTCTTTGAGATTTACTATTTCTTTCAGATAAGCCCTAAGTATGTACTTAATAGCGACACATAAGTACTATGCGTCTGCTTACACAAGGCTACGGGTGATACTTAAAATTAATCAGCTCCCGCAGACCTTCCCACCAAGCATATGGAGGATGATCCAGTTCAAATGCAAAGGGTAGTGGGAGTAAATCGCCAGTGCATGACAGTGCAGCACAAGCCTCGCAGCTCCAGCGTGATCTTATTGCAGCCTTCCCATACCTAAAGGGGGCCTACAGGAAAGCTGGAGAGGGACTTTTTACAAGGGCGTGTAGTGATAGGACAAGGGGTAATGGCTTGAAATTCACAGAGGGGAGATTTCAATGAGATCAAAGGAAGAAATTCTTCACTCTGAGGGTGGTGAGGCACTGGAACAGGTTTCCCAGAGAAGCTGTGGCTGTCCCCTCCCTGGAAACGTTCAAGGCCAGGTTGGATGAGGCTTTGAGCAACCTGGTGTAGTGGAAGGTGTCCCTGCCCGTGGCAGGGGGGTTGGAACTAGATGATCTTTGAGGTCCCTTCCAACCTAAACCATTCTATGACTCTGTGATTCTGTGATTCTATCTCTGCTTGAAAAACTGCATCATGTGCAAAATACCACTTTCTTTTCTTATTTGAAAGGTCCATGGAAACACTACTGGGTCAGCTACAAAAGGATGTAGCCATTTAACCTTTAGATCTACCTGGTTTCCCATTGATTTGGCTTGAAAACAAGATAATAACACATTGCCATCAGTTCAGTATTTGTTCTGTCCCGCTGACAGGCTCAAAAGAGACATCTAGTAATATTTACTCCGATCATTGCGTGAATACATTCTGGATTTTCCCCCATATTACACAGGAGGGTTGAGTGGGATGGGAGTGAAACTTAGTGAACCATATATGAAGTGGATGGTGTCGTTTACTCACAGGAGGAGAAGCCTGGCAAACAACAAAAGCTCCCAAAGGTTAAATGCCAACTTAATGACTTTAACAACTGAAATCCAAGAGAGTAGGTTGAGGATGGAAGGAGCAAAATGATCAAGTGTGAAGAGACTGGTCTTGACTTTCCTACAGTCTGCCTGCAGGAGTATAAAGACACTCACCAATACACCTAGCTAATTATAATGACATAATGTCTTTTTACTGATAGAGACTCTGTCTCAGATTTGGTGTGATGATTCTGATTCAACGGCCCTGCATGCAGTAGTCTCACTGACTGAAAAAAAACCATGCTGACTTGTTTTGGAAAGACTCTCCGCAATTTTCTCCTCTTTGTGTTATTTCTCTTCAAGGGGAAGCGAGTTTGACTTCCTGGTAGATGTGAAGGATGCTATACAGAAGTTAATTCAGAGATGGGTTATTGCAGGACTATATCCAGGCAAGGAGTGCACAAAAGTAGGGGAGCGACCCACTAACTATCTAAACTTCAGAGTTCAGGTATAATTTAAGCAACTAGACTTAGCATTTAATTTTTGAAGTACTAGTGCTAACATCTGATAAGGCTAATAACATTCCTTAGAGTTACACAAATTGTTAATCTCATGATTTTACAGACAAAATTGAAACCAGAGAAGGACAAGTAGTTTTGCCCAACACCGCAGAGAAGACTTGGAGACATGGAAGGAATTCCTGGCTCCACAGCTCAAGCAACTGTTTCTGCCTACCTACCTCAACTGCTAGCATGTCTGCAAACCCAGATCTCCCAGACAGATGAGTTCTTACGACGTTTCAAATACTGAAAATATCATAAAAGAACAACTTCCCTCCTGCTGGTTTGGCATTCCTACTCATCACGGAACCTTAAAAACGATCTATTTCAAGATCTTTATTCAAGCTTGGGTTAAAAAATGAATAAATGTTATAGGTGTAAGAGAGGATTGAGCTATCTGTATTTTATCATCCAGTGTTCATCCTAAGACGTTGAAGTGCTGGAGTATCTTCAAAGAACAACAACGCTGGTGAAGGGGCTGGAGCACAAGTCTTATGAGGAGTGACTGAGAGAACTAGAGTTGTTTAGTCTGGAGAAAAAGAGGCTCAGAGGAGACCTTATCACTCTCTACAATCACCTGAAAGGAGGTTGTAGCGAGAGGGGAGTCGGTCTCTTCTCCCAAGTAACAAGCGACAGGACAAGAAGAAATGGCCTCAAGTTGCACCAGGTGTGGTTTAGGTTGGATATTACAGAAAATTTCTTCACTGAAAGGGTTGTCAAGCATTAGAACAGACTGCCCAGAGAAGTGGTTGAGTCACCATCCCTGGAGGTATTTAAAAGCCATGTAGATGTGGTGATTTAAGACATGGTTTAGTGGGGACTTGGCAGTGTCAGCTTTACAGTTGGACTTGATGATCTTCAAGATCTTTTCCAACCTAAATGATTGTATGATTCTAAATATGCTACCAGCTACGCTGTTCCACACAAGCAGTGCGAGCCTGTAAAGGAGAATCAATAGCATCCCATCCCACGGAGGAGCAGTAAGACTTCATTACTCTTTGTGTAAAGCTCTGGAAACATACCCAAGGAAGAAGTGATATCACTGCAGTCTGTTCACTTGTCCTGAACGTGAAAGATTGAAGGCAGAGGGCAAAAAGAGAACTACTTCTCCTTCTAGTTAAAATCTGAACTAATATGATCATCCTCTCAACTTCACATCTGATATTCATTAATCGTGACTCAAAGGCCAGTGACTGAAAAACTTCAAACTACCATAATCTGACTCCTGGATGTAATGATATCAGCTATAGCTGTGTCTCCTGACTATTCAAATACATTTTAGAATACAAATACATATTATCTCTCTCTCTCTCCATACATAGAGATGCAGCTATGCCTCTATTTGCCGCAATCAACAAACAATTTAAGAATTAAGGAAAACCGTTTTCATTTTAAGATAAGAACTTTGGGCTTATTATAATGCTGTAAAATAAAATCAGCTAGCACAAGGCACAAAAAAAAGAAAAAAAGAAAAAGTGATTCACTGAGGAAGTTCCATGATGTGCGGGACAATGGGTCTTAAATCAAAGGCATACATTATCATGACTAAGCTGACAGATCTGCACTGCAATGCAGAAAGCCAAGCAATATTCCAACATCTGCACCGTGCACAGATAGGCAGTTAGACACAGTTTCCCAAAATGAAGACAGGACTCCCTGAGCTCTTACCTGTTACCTGTGCAACAACTGCTTGGGAAATTCTCCGATTGGCTAGGAAGGCTTTGATTTCCTCCTTTATCACACTGCTGTCCCTCCTACCAAAACAAAAAAAAACAAAAGAACACACAAAAAGACGGACAGACCAAAGTGCACTTTGAAGATGCAAAATGGCTTGATTTCCTTTATTTAGGGGACAAGGAGAGGGGAAGGCAGACACTAAAATAGTCAAAGTGCCTCACCGGTGGACACTTCTTTTAACAAGTGTCACGTTTGATCAAAGTACCCTAGCAGGAGAATGGATGACTCATGTCCTATATAATTCATATTAGATGCAGCACTGCCATATGGAATGTACAAAGTTTCATTACACAGGGATGAATAAATCTCTCATACCAGCATAAAAACCTCAGTCATAAAAATGAGGCACAAAAATAAAGGATAGCAGGGTGTGCATGGTTAGCTACACAAATGAATATACATACACAATCCTTCTCCAATCTTTCAAGGAAAAGACCCAAAGGAGAAAAGATTTTGCAACCTCTATCCCCCCACCCCTACTTCCTCAGTCTACAGCTTGCACTGAATGAAGAAGTGCCAGTAATTTAAAGCCTTCATATGATTTTTACAAGGTGTGCAAAGAGACTAAAACTATGCTAAAAAAAGTAATTTGGAGGCTGCACAGGGACTGTGATATGCAGCAAATTTCAATTGCAGTAAACACCTACTTTTCCCTCCTCTTCCTCAAAAGGGCAGACAATTAAAACCAGACTTTATTAGGCTTTATTATTTGGTAATTTTCCTTCCCCTTCTCCCCTCTTGCCCCAGCAGCATTCCAGGCAGATTCAAGCTTGCAAATGTAAATGCAAAATAAGTGCTACGTTGTGGGTTCATTTTTATTTCTATACCCAACACTAATCTTCCATATGCCTGCAAATAAAAGTAGTTTCAGTTTAAATAAGCACTAAAAGCATTACCTGAGACTTACTGCATAGGAACTCAAAACTCAAAGGAATGATTAAGCTCCAGCAATGGGAACTCCTACATACCACTATACTCACCACCTTCCTGCATTATTCCATTATCCTGCAGCCGACAGTAAACGATGTGGATAGGCTTTTCTTACTGTTCTCATCTCTAATCCTCTCCCCCAAAAGCCACACCTTTACTCTAAATCTTCAAGCCACTTCAAACATATTTTCATCCTGGAGCTTATGGACCCTATTTCTCTCATAGGTACTTTATGAACGTCGCAATTTTGGGGAAAAAAAGACATTCCAACATTATGACCCAAATTGTTTTGAGAAATTTGGCCTTTCCTCTTCTTTCTTTTTGCTATCAAGCCCACTGACTCTGACTTTCATCCTCAATCGTATAATCCCCTCCTTTCATCTTTTCCATAACACTGAAGAGGAAGTCGCTAAAAGCAAAGAAGGGTCAGTCTGGGAAAAAAAAACAAAACAACTGGTTCTCACTGACAACTTCTGCTTCTTCTTTATTATTTGTATTTTCCTACGCCAATTTGCAGACTGTGCAAATACTGGCACAGGATCAGTCCCTGCCACAAACTATAAACAGATAACATACATGCTCTGCAGATCCCAGTAGAAAGCATTAACCAAGCAGATTCCCTATTCCCCCTACATATGGCAGGAAATACAACTGGTATGAAGCGGTAGAGGAGGAGTCATGTGAATTGATATTCGGTCAGAAGTTTTCTGAGTAAGAGTAGGGCGGAAAATCAGTGCGCTAACACCAATTTCAATTTTTGGTAAAGCATGGGGAAAAAATATTTCAGCAGTAAAAAAAACCTGTGGAATACCTGCACATGGCCAGGGGTTGTCTACACAGGACTACGAGGCAGGTGAGAGGTACTGAGATAGTGAAGCATGGGGAAAAAATATTTCAGCAGTAAAAAAAACCTGTGGAATACCTGCACATGGCCAGGGGTTGTCTACACAGGACTACGAGGCAGGTGAGAGGTACTGAGATAGTGACCACGAGGGAACTAGCAGGGGAGTAGCTGTCTAAATCTTCATAATACCTATCACTACTACAGCAGTCCTCCAATATGCAGATTTCTTCTGAGGGACTCCTCACTCTGACTTTCCAAACTTTTTAGAAAGACTTCTACTAACCTCATCAGTTCCTCCACTTTGTCATCAATGTCCAAGTCCTCTTCAGAAGCTTCAAAACTGTATGACCTTTGAGCCAAGCTGTTTGCAAGTGGGTAGCGGGTAGGTGACATCTTCCCATTAAATGCAGACAACCTCTCGTTACTCTCCCTCCCATTCTGATTAGTAGTGCAAGGCTGTGGGGAGGTGTCGTAACTGTTGCTTGGTGATGGGGACATCCCAGAATGCTGGGTCTGTGTTGAAGCTGTGGCTGTAGAAGATGATGCTGGGACATTGTTGGTACTGTTGCTATAGGAACCACCTCCGTAGCTAGACCTTCTTCCAAATTTGTCACTATGCTCTTGATCAAGACGATCCAAGGTTTCCAGCGCGTGGAGGATTTCATGTCTGGTCATTCCTGTACGTCTCAGGCGCTGAAGCAGGTCTATCTGCTCTATGGTAAATCTTGGTTCGTCTGTATAGTGAGACATGGTTTCCAGCAGACTAAAAGGTAAAATGTAAAAGCAAATACTTCAGTTCAGTAGTTCTCTGTGGTATATGGAAAGTAACTCACATACAGGAAAGACCAATTCTGCTCTAAAACTTTTAAGTCACACACATGACAGAGCTGGCACCCAAGTCCACCTCCAAACAAGCTCAGCAGGCAATCTCCCATGAATGCTAGTCTTGCTACATAGCAGAAGGGTTTACTGTCCTCAAATTGCATTTCTCTCTTCTACCAGCATTCCCTAC